TAATCAAAGACCTGATAAAGACAACCTAAAATATAAGAAATTATTTTGTTAAGACACAAAATCCTTTTTATTCCCCCCTCAGCAGATCCTAAATTTCCTAGACAGATTACTTAGAAGGTAAAGAAGTATTTCACAATATTTTATCAAGAACAGACTGATAATCCAAGAAACTTTGTTATTTTAACAGAGAAGACCACGTTCTAGTTTTGCAGTGTACTTTTGATATTAAAACTGATTTCTGAGATTCTCATAATAAATTAATTCAATTTTAGCTAGGTTGACCATCCGAGATTCTCTCTCTTCCCACCTTTCTAAATCCATTCACTTTTTGTCCTCAATCTCCTTTTTCATTCTGAAACAACTTTTAAATAACCTCCAAACTAGGAAAAAATTACTCTTTTCCTTGACAAAAAAAATCCTCATACCTTATAACCTTCCTTACCTGTAGAGGATTCATAAAGCAAATGTACTTCACAGGGCCTGGTTTTCCAAAGCCTTGCAGTTTCAAATATTGACCTTGCAAAGGACAGGAAATTTTCCCCAGGCTATTGAGTTTCTGTTGCAAGATAAGAATTGTAACACAGCAAGGTTGCTGGCTGAAGGACAGACAAGTTACTGATTGATATTTAAAGATCCTGGGAAATTGGGGTAAGAAGAGAATGTTTGCTAAAATCAAGCCTTTGTTGCAAATTGCATTACAGAAGTTCACCTTGCTTGACTTACTGAATGTTACCAGCTTCTATTGTTAAACTTGTTAAACTGTACTTAACAAAACCCCACCTATGTCTCTTCCTGTAACTTCTTGGTCTAGAGAATAAACGCGGGAAGAGAACCCCAATTCGTGGTTAATTTTCCAAATGGAAGAAATGCCTCGCTGTTGAGTGCGATGGGAGATTAACCCCTTTTGATGCTTCTCACTGGCGGCTCCATCACCCAGGGGAAAAGGGGTGACAAATCCATGGGAGACAAAGCAATACTTAACCTAAAACACTTACTTTCCTTGTATATTTTCCATATAGAGTTGTTATTATTTCAAGTAGTTTTAATTACATGTATCAATCAGAATTTTTAACCCTTAGTAACTTTAATTTTTAGTGAAAACTAGGAATCGGGCAATTATGAGCTATCTATCACACCAGCAGTCTGTAGATTGGTAAACTTATTAACAGGCCATGTAATAATTTCTAGAAGCATTTTTTTTCATAGTACAATGCTTTAATGTGGCATAGGACAACTTTACTAACAAACCCAAACATCTTTAGTTTCTCTGTAATAAAAAGTCAGAGTAAAGTTTACAATTACAAACAAAATTTTTTTTTTTTTTTTTAAAGATGACCGGTAAGGTGATCTTAACCCTTGACTTGGTGTTGTCAGCACCACGCTCAGCCAGTGAGCGAACCGGCCATCCCTATATGGGATCCGAACCCGAGGCCTTGGTGTTATCAGCACCGCACTCTCCCGAGTGAGCCACGGGCCGGCCCCAAACAAAATTTTTTAATTATAATTTAAAAACTTGTGTTACCGAACTCAAGTCTGGCTGCCTGGCCCCTTGAGAAGGATAGAAAAAAACTCAGAAATAAAATGGCTGGTGTTAGAAAAGCAGATGTATTCAGCTGAAGGAGACGGTAGGCTGTCCCATCTCAAAGATTTACATTTACTGAGGAGTTTTTAAAGGAGGAGTTGAGAGAATGGAATGTGGGAGACGAAAAGCAGGAGAGCAGGAGATGTGAGTTATGAGGGGTCTGTTTCTATGGGTCAGGAACAAGGTCTCCCCAAGGCCTCCTCTGGTTTCTGTTCTCATCTTTGTTGTTATCTCAGGACCCTGCAAGATTTTGATTTGTACTGGTGTACTTGGCCTGGTGCCCAAGGTCAGCTTTGGTTATTTGGTCTTGATCATTTCTCAAAACTCTACAAGTCTCAAAGAAAGAACTGTTAGCTTTGCAAAGTACTGATTAGCTTCTTGGCCTTGTTTTCCTACTTAGCAAGCAAGACAAGAAAGTCAGGAGATGGGATGAAAGAGTGGAGAGAAAAAAGCTGTCCTTTTAAAAATCCTCCCCAACTCCATAGCCCAGGGAGTTTTAGGTCCCGACATGGCTTTGGTCCCGCTCACTCCAGCACTTGTTTAAAACAAGTTAAAGTTAATAATAGATTTGGGGCCGGCTCAGTGGCGCAATGGATAGTGCGCCGCTTGGGAAGCGCGGCGGCGCTCCTGCCCGAGGGTTCGGATCCCACATACAGACCGGTTCCCGCTCACTGGCTGAGCGAGGCGCGGGAGCAACACCGAGGGTTGCGATCCCGTTGCCGGTCCCCGGTCTGGTACGGGGGCAACACTGAGGGTTGCGATCCGTTGCCGGACCCGGAAAAAAGACAAAAAAAAAAAATAATAGATCTGCAACATAACCAGCACCACTTTGGACAAGCCCAAGTACAAACTGGCGCCGCCAACCTCCTCCCCTCTCATCTCCTTCCCTTTATGAGAAATCTCCTGACTTAAACAGAAACCCCTTTTGCTTCTGCAAGGACGCAGTTCTCCACCCTGATCCATATTAGCATAATGACCCTCCTTGATGGGATCAGCCAGCCCTTGGTGCACTATATAAGCTCTGCCACCCCCACACCTGCGGCCGTCCCCTTTCCAGGGCAGCCCCAGGCTGCCTGCCACTTTGAGCACAGCCTGGCAGATTTTCTTCCTTTAATAAAGCTTGAACGGTACCGGCTCTCAGCTCACTTTCTTTCAGTTAAGTTCAGCAATTACTATTTCAGTATTTTATTTTATTTGGAAAAAGTCTACCTATTCTATGAAAATCCATCATTTAATTTAATTTAGCAAATCTCTAAGGGTATTAAGTTACCAAAGAGATTTGGAAAACTATTTTTAAGTAGAAATATTACAAATCATAATCATTGTAGAAAAGTTCATTTACAAACGTTTATCCCACTTATATCTATGTAATTAACTTGGGTTTTTTTGTTTGTTTGTTTGTTTGTTTTTTGTTTTTTGTTTTTTGTTTTTTTTTTTTTTTGTCTTTTTCCGTGTCCGGCAACGGATCGCAACCCTCAGTGTCGCCCCCGCACTGGACCGGGACCGGCAACGGGATCGCAACCCTCGGTGTTGCTCCCGCGCCTCGCTCAGCCAGTGAGCGGGAACCGGTCTGCATGTGGGATCCGAACCCTCGGGCGGGAGTGCCGCTGCACTTCCCAAGTGGCACACTATCCAGTGCGCCACCAGGCCAGCCCATTTGTTTGTTTTTTTACGCTTGGATTACTCATGAAAGTTTCATGACATGTTAGACAAAGGATAGAAAGTTTATATCACAAAGGCAAAGAGAAAGGAAGTTCCTTCACTCCAAGAAAGAGTTTTGGGGCATATTTGCCTGTGATCAGAGGTTGATCTTATTGTGGCTTCTGTGGATTGAATGTCCCCCCCAAACTCATCAAAGCTTAAATTGTGTCTCCCAAAGTTCCAGTTATTGGAAACTTGGCTCCCACTGTGACAGTGTTGATGGTGGGAAATCCTACTGTGATGACTGGAAGGTGGGGCCTTGGGGAGATGACTGGATTGTAAGGGCCGTGCTCTAGTTCATGTGCACGGTTCTGAGGGCGTTAAAAAGAGAGCATGTGAGAGTCTCTCTCTCTGCTCTGCTATTTTCTGCCATGTGAGACACCTGTGTCACTGTCACCACCAGGGAAGACCCTCACCAGATGCATTCCCTGGACTTTGGGCTTCCCAGCCTCTGAAACTGTAAGCAATAAATTTTGTTTTCTTACAAATTACCCAATTCCAAGTTTTTTTTTTTTTTTTTTCCCTTTTTATCTTTTTTCGTGTCCAGCAACGGATCGCAACCCTCAGTGTCGCGCCCGGACCGGACCGGGACCGGCAACGGGATCGCAAACCTCGGTGCCGCGCCTGCACCTTGCTCAGCCAGTGAGTGGGAACCGGTCTGTATGTGGGATCCAAACCCTCGGCGGGAGCGCCGCCGTGCTCCCAAGCGGCGCACCGTAGCAGTGTGCCACCGGGCCAGCCCCAAGTATTTTTTTTTTTTTTTAATTTTTATAAGCAACAGAAACAGACTAATATAGCAGCTGTGGTCTAAATTTTAGTCAAGTGACTGAGGAGACATCCAGCAGCTGCCTGGAAGTTTCCAAAGACCATCTGAGTGGAGGAGACATCTACTCTATCTCCAATCACTCCTTTTCTCTCTCAGCCTCAAAAGTTGCTTCTGGGAGGTGCTGAGTCCCTTGAGAGCCCAAAGTTTGAGTGACTGAGGGGCTGGAGTCTGGTGGGGCATGCAGAGGACAGAGGAGGCAGGGCTCAGGGAGGCTTACCGAGAATTCACGGGAACTGAATGGAAGATCGAAGGTGGCAGAGAGAGGAAGGAGGAAGATGAGGGGCCAGTGTGGAGAGATCTCAGCACCCAAAGAAGTCAATGGAGTTCCAAGTTAGCCCCAGCAAAATCACACTGAAAAAGCCACTGTCCAGGGACGTGGACAGTGTCAGTGGAACATGCAGTCACCAGGGGTCAGCAATGGAGAAGTTCTCATGGGAGGGGCAGGATCAGACAGGAGAGCAGAGACCTTCAGCTAGAATAGATTCTACCAGGGTCTGAATATGAGCTCCCAATCAGGCCAACTTCTGACCACAGAGCTCCTTTTTAAAAAATCTTTTCAGGCCGGCCCGGTGGTGCACTCGGTGGAGTGCAGCGCTTGGGAGCGCGGCGGCGCTCCTGCCGAGGGTTCGGATCCCATATAGAGACCAGTCCGCTCACTGGTTGAGCGCGGTGCGGGCGCGACACCGAGGGTTGCGATCCCGTTGCCGGTCACAAAAAAAGACAAAAAGGAAAAAAAAAATATTTTCAAATTTATTATCCAGTTCAGCCAGGAAAAGCAGTAAATATTCCTGGGAGTACTGAACTGTTTTTAAAATTATTTTTTTTCCTTTTTCTTTTACACCAAAGGTATATTCATCAAGTGACTCAAGATCAAAAGAAATAAGCCTCTTATGATTTAAAACAATAAGCTTTTAATGGCTTAAACACAGATATAAGAAGTGTCCCCAAAGATACAGCAATAGATACAACCCTCTGGAGATCCAGGACCACTTGCACAGACAGTCGAAAGGAAGTCTTAGACAACTGCCCTGAGAGCTGGCACTGGTTGGTAGGAAGGACACTAGTTGCTAAGGAGGTGCAGTCCACATTTCTGTCTGGACAGTCTGACGGTTGGCCACCTGCACAGGAAGGCCAAATAACCTGAGCACCCCAATAAGCAGAAAGCAGAGCCAAATTCTGGGACACAGAAGAGGAGACAAGCAATAGCTGCTCTTGGGAGTGAAAGGATCAATAACCACAGGTTGACCCAAACCAGACTTTACCAGAGTCACAGTCTAAAAAAACACTAATTCTTACAAATGTTTTTCTCCTGCTAATGTGAATTAGGAGTGAAAGGGATAAAGAGAAATTTTCACCTTTCTCTCTTGACCAGGCCCTACAGGCAAAGATCCAGGAGATTCTGCCAGTTTTTCCAGGATGCCACTTGTGCAGGCTCCAGATCAGGTGGGGTATCCCAGCATCCCATTTGGGTCACCAAAACTGTAGGAGCAGAAAAATAATTTTCTTTCTGCCCTTTCTGTGTTCCTGGCTGAGAGCCCTGTAACAAAATACAGATTAACAAGAGAAAAACAGAAGTTTAATAACATGTATACCTTATGTATACTTAGGTGATACCCAGAGAAATGAGTAGAATCTGGAGAGGTGGCTTAGAATTCAGCCTTCAGTACCATCTCCAGCTGAAACAAATAAAGAAGGGCATTGGGGCAGACAGCTATGGGGAGGTGCTCAGGAAAAGCATGGTAAACAAAGGTAAGCAGGCATCATGCAGATTTGTGTGGGTTCCTCACCATTGGTCAGAGCCTCGAGTGATTTAGACTCATCTTCCTCTTCCAGGGACAGAGAGGGAGAGATCCTTACAAATGGAGATTTACTTTATAGATTGAAATGCCCTCTTGCAAAAGGGTAGCTTCTACTCTGTTTTCAGAGCTGCTGTTTGGCTGCTGTTTTTCAAAATAATCCTCATGCTAAGGAGGCATATTTTGGGGTGGCATTTCTGGTCTCCTACAGTGCTGTATGGGGGTGTCATATTCTGGTCTCCTACAGTTACGTGGACACCCTGAGAATGACCTGAAGCTTCCTGAAGAAAGGAGAAGCTGGGACCGGCAGGTGGGTGGGACGGACACCTCTGACCAGGGTACTTGTGGAGAACATCCTGGGCTCAGGATGGATTTGGGTCTGAGGTTGAACTGCAGCACAGCTCAGTCCTTAATTAAAGTTCCCATCTCCACTGGCTTTGTGGCCTTTTCCAGCCCCTACCCTTTAAACTCAGCTTTCTTTTTCCTCTCTTCCTCTTCTTGGTGTGGGCTCTGCAGTCTCAGTGATTAGTAGTCCCTTCCTGCCACAGGAAAAGTCAGCCTTGCATTATCCTGGGGCTGATGACCTAGGCCCTTCCCAGTGGGGTTGGTCATTGAGTCAACTCTGGCCTCAGACTCTTTGGCATGAAAAGTCCAGCCCAACCCAGCAGTCTGGCCTTCGCAGTTCTCTAGAAACTGCAGTGGAGAAGTTAAATTCGAATCGGCCGAACTGCAGCACTATGATGACCGCAGACTCAGGGGTCGCCAGGGGCGGTGGCCAGCAGGTGGTGGCGGGGTACTGATGGCAAAGGGGTGAGAGGGAACTGTTTGGAGTGATGTTCTATGCAATGATTCTCGTGACTGTTACAAGGCTACGTGCAGTTGTAAGGAACTCATTAAATTGTACAATTAAAATTGGTAATTTTCACTGTATGTAAATTATGACTCTCCAAGTCTGATATTTTAAGATGACCAAAATGAAGTAGAGAGATTATCTATATATTTAAATTCTTTGATACCCTCTGGTAATAAAATGAGTAGGGGTCTATCATTTTTTCCCCATAAGGATTATCCCTCTGGGTCCTGCTATCTCTTGCCTACCTCACTGCCCCTCCCACTCTACAGTGAGAATTGACTCAGATTGGCAGCTAGAAGTTAGTAGCAGAGAGAAAAAATGTTATTTAGCACCAAAAACTGTCGGTATTTTTACATAAGGGGAGGGATAATTAAAATAAAATCACTATGGGTTCCTTTTTCTTACAGAGGGTGGTGGCTAGGGCAGAGACAGAGAAATCAGACACCGTGTAGGTGGCCTCTTGTTTAAGCCCAGGACTTCGGTCCTGAAAAGGGGGGCTGTAAAGGAGTCTCCACATGTCAACCTTAGAAGCAGCAGCTCCGCACCCTCTTACATAGGTGGACAGGCAACCAGTTATCGGGACAAGATTTGGGCACACAGCCTGAGGCATCGACATGGAGCTGCTGCCTGGCTGTGCAAATTCAGGTCCCAGCTCTAACCGAGCTTGGGCTGTGGCTGAGGAGAGCTGGTTGTTCTGCACGAAGAATTGGAAGGGTCTGGTTCTTTGTCCAAGAGCAGGAGGCCTGAGGAGCTGGGCAGGAAGGGGAGGGCTGAAATCCAGCCACAGAATTGGGGACTTCTGAAAAGAAGTTGTGTGTGTTAATTTTGAATTGTTTGTGGCACTGTGATGTAAATCCTCCCACCTCTCCAAATCTTTGGTAAAGTCTGTCAAATACCAAGTCCTTCTATGAATGATCATTGGGTGAAAGCAAACAAAGGACTGACTTCCACATCTGGATAAGGAACAGGACCCACAAGCCCAGGATGACAAAATGCTCCATAAACTGATCAAATTCCTCCAATAAATAATTATAGAGTACCTACTATGTGGCCTACAAACGTTTGCTGTTATTATTATCCCATGTGGCCAGCATGAGGTGGTGCCTGCAAGGCTGGCAGGGGGGAATAGACAGGATTAGCACATGGTGGCAAAACCGTCAGTTGTGGTGGGGAGCAGGGCATACTTAGAAAGGGCAGGTGAGAATCCAGCAAAAGTGGGGGGTCAAGAGTCCAAGGTGATCAAGACCATAGCACCACCTGACACCAAGCTCCTGGAGAGATGGCTGCTCCTAGATCACATGGGTCTAGTGCTATGGCGGGAGGGGTGGAGCTCTGAGCCCATTTCACTTGAATCCAAAGACAGGGATCTTGGGCCGGCCCGGTGGCGCACTGGAGAGTGTGCCTCCCGCTGAGGGTTCGGATCCCATGTGGAGACCGGTTCCCGCTCACTGGTTGAGTGCGGTGCGGACGCAACACCAAGGGTTGCGATCCCGTTACCGGTCAGTAAAAAAGACAAAAAGGAAAAAAAAAAAAAAAAAAAAAAAAAAAAAAAGGGGTCTCGGCTAAATTTTGGGTTTTTTTTTTTAAAAAAAAAACAGCATTAAAAACCAA